AGAGAGAGGCAGGCTGGGCTGTCTCCAGCCAGCCCAGTGAAGAGGAAGAGCGAAAACGGAATTAGTTTGAAATTTAAACTGTTGTGAACCAGAGGGGTGAAGGGGCCGGCAAAGCCAGCTGATCTGACATGGAACCACATACCTTGGGGATTAAGTAAATATGTACTGTAGAAAACCAAACCTGCATGTAATTCCAGGTTGCTTTTGTTTTGTTAAATACTGCCCTGAGATTTACAATTCCTCCGGGGTGGCTCTGACTGGGACTGAACTTTGGAGCCTGAACTATCGGCCAAAGCTGATCCGATTAACTCTTCCCTAACCGGGCTGGCCAGAGCCTGCTGTGGCCAAGCTTGCGGGGGTCTGGTTGTCCAGGACTCCCTCTTCTCCATGGGTGGTTCGGACAGCTGCTTGACCTTGCAGTTGGAAAGGAGCTCAGAAGTGCTTTTAACCCTTGGACACACTGCATAAGGGGAAAGAAGAGTTGTTCTCTGCAGTTTTGTTTCCTCAAGGTGATGCCTCACTGAAGGTGTCCTAAAGCCCCTTGTGGGGGACCATAAGGAGAGCAGATAAGGGTGTCCTCAGGGAGGAGATGGGAGTTTGGGACAGTTGCGTGTGATTGTCATTCCTTAGCTGTCTGCATCCCACAGAGACTTTCTTCTGAGTCTTCCAGCTGGCCCAGGTCCTGGGTCTCTTACAGCTCTTGTAGCTGATTGCAGTAGGCAGATGAGAAACTCTTAGTCAATCTGGAAAAACTTGACTGACTGTAAACAATCCTAAATTGAAAGAAGTAATGGCATTGGGGGGTGGGTACAAGAGTGCGGCGTGGAGTTCATGCACTGGAAACCCAGTCCCACCTCACTTGAAGTGGACGGCCTCTTCCAGGGAATACAGCCAGGGCCAATTAGGAATATGTCTTACATTGCTGTCAGGGTCACCAGACACGGAATTCATGGGAGCCTGTGACACTTCCAGTGCCACTCTCACTGGGTTTGGTCACTGGACCAGTCAGCATGCCCAGCAGTGCTCCCTGTAACTCATGATTATCTGACCAGTGACTGCAGCAATTTTTTTTTTTTTTTTTGAGTTAGGGTCTCACTCTGTCACCCAGGCTGGAGTGCAGTGGCATGCTCACGGCCACCAAAGCCTCGACCTGCTGGACTCAGACAATCCTTCCACCTCAGCCTTCCAAGTAGCTGAAACTACAAGCATGCGCTACCATGTCTGGCTAATTTTTTTTTTTATTGTGGAGATGAGGTGTCACCAAGTTGGTCTCGAGCCCCTGGGCTCAGGCAATCCTCTTGCCTCTGCCTCCCAAAGTGCTGGGATTACAGACTTGAGCCACGGTTCGTGGCCTGCAGCTACCCTTTAAAGAGACTTGTGCTTGCTGTCACAGTGGGGAATTTGGAATGGTGGCTTCTTGACTAAGTCCATCTAGGGTCAGTGAGAGGACTTTGGGACTACCCCCCAGAGCCAGAAGTGTTTGGGGGACTGGTGGGCTTGGGGGCAAAGTGCCAAGTGTTATGGGGGGTGAGGCATTGAAGGGAGACAGCTGATTGGTCTGGGGACAGGTGTGAACAGTAGGCTTGGGGATGATCCGGGAGTATCCAAGCGCCTGCAGCCTGCAGTCATATTAGACAGGCGGCGGTGTGGAACCACAGATGACTCCCTTCTCCTCTTGGTGGACGTACAGGCTGCATCTGAGAACCTTCCCAGCCTAGATTCTGGTGGGATTGGATCTGAAGGGGAAAGACCCCACAAGGGAGGGGGGGAAAAAAAGGAGCACCAGTCTCTGCAAACAACTGACATGTCCAGGAGATGTCTATTTATTTGGGGCATGAAAGGAGGGGTGCGGGGGAGGTTGGCAACCCAATTTCCCATAATGATCTTGAGTTAAGTAGGATTTGGCAATATTTGTGGGTGGTAGTGAGCCTTTGGCTGCAAAGGTGGCCCAGATAAGGGTTTGTCTTAAAGGGATACAGAAGTTCCAGGAGTTCAAAACTTCCTAATCAGGTGTCTTTCCTTATCCACATGTTTCAAGATTAACTTAAGCAGGGTCAGTCATGGTTAGGGTCTCCATCCAGAGTAAAGCTTGTGCTGGGTTACTCCCCACTACACTCTTTTTAAAATTTTCTTTCTTTTTCTTTTTTTTCTATTTTGAGTCAGGGATCTCACTCTGTTACCTAGACTGGAGCACAGTGGCGTGATCACAGCTCACTGTAGCCTCAAACCCCTGGGCTCAAGTGATCCTCCCACCTCAGCCTCCTGAGTATCGGGAACTATAGGTGCACGCCACCATGCCCCACTAATTTTTTGATTTTTGGTAGAGATAAGGTCCCGCTATGTTGCTGAGGCTGGTCTCAAATTCCTGGTCTTAAGTAATCATCCTGCCTTGGCCTCCCAAAGTGCTGAGATTACAGGCATGAGCCATTGTGCCTGTTCTCCTTTTTTATTTTCTATGCCCTCCTGGAATTCCTCCCAAGAAATCATTCACAAAGCTCCAGCCCATTCTCCTTCTTCCCAAGGGAACTAACTTCTGGGTAGTAAGTAGTCAGCCCAGACTCGAATCTGAGTTTGACATGGTTTTAGCAGGAGCCCCCAGGAGAAGAAGTGGACTGTTTGTTTGGAAGTATTTGCAGTGGCTATTCCAGGCTTCAGTTCAGCATTGTGTGAGGGGCTGGACTAGAGTCCTGGTCCTTGATTATAGACCCAGGAAGCTGGCTTAATCCCCACCCTCCACCCCCACACCCTCC